ACCCTAGAAATTGGGTGACTTCTATTCTGCTTCTCCGGTGCTCCACCGCCTCCAAGGTTGTTTGGGCTTTATTTTTGAGCCCAAGGAGAGTATAATGGTGGTGGAGATCGATAAAATTTCATTCAAAATTGGTGGATTTTCACCAAGCACCTCACAGTGCCGTCGCCACCGTATACCCTAAAATAGGCCTAATCCCGTCGAATATTTGATAATCAATGAAGGAGAAGGAGCAGGATGGTGTTTTCAGGTGATAACAAGGTGTGGGTCACCAGAAAAACGACGAAAAATGGTTAGAAATCACACGGGTTCGATGGGGAATGAAGGTCAACCCGTTTTCCTCATTTTCGTTTTCTCCCCTCATTTCCTTCCTTCTGATTGGGCAGCCTATTCCCCCTACCTCTCCTTTCTCTCATTCCCTCTTCATCTCAGCCATACACATGGCACTCCCATTGCTCCAGATTTTCTAGAGCCTTCCGAATTAATGGGAAAATATCTATTTTGCCCTCGACTTCAATCGTTAATAACTTCTTTGTTATAATGAACGGTTTTCGCCTACGCGCTCATAGGATCGAACTCTATCCGAATATAGCAAGAAAAATGAAAAAATATATGAGGATAAAATATGTCCTCATCAAATACATATGTTTTATGAATCTCGCACTGACAGGAGAGTGAATTTATATTTATATTCTTTTGTTTTGATAATGTGAACTATGATTGTGGTGATATTGTTATATTTCACAAGTTTTATGAATCATGAGGCATTTATGTGAAATGCATATGAATTGTGAATGCATTATTTCAAAATTTTGTGAATAAAGTGGCATCCGGGTGACATATTTATTGAGGACCACTCACGTATGTGGCATGTGCAATTTCCATGGCAACTATGGAGTTTTGTAAGTGGAAATTATGATTTGCATTATGGTTGCACTATTTCATAATTTCTATGAATATGTGAGATACCTATATGTATTGTGGATTGCTCATGTGTGATGTTGTGAGTACAAGTTCCTGTGGATTGTAAATGCAGTTTCCTTGTATGATTTTGATGACCTTAGAGTGGAAGGGACTATGAGGTTCCCCTGGGTTTTGATCCCTTAAACCTTCAGAGGGTGTTATACAGTCGGGCTACACCTGAGGGATAGTCCATATGGTATGGCCATTGGAAATGGACACTCTTGGATTGACAGTTACTAGGAGTGATGGGCACCGCGCGCTGCCCTGGGTTTCGATCCCCTAAACCTCTCGAGGCCTCCATGGCCGGACTTGTAACATATCCCGTGGGGAGGGTCCTTAGTTCTGGGGTGTAGGATTAAATGGACATTCTCGTTACCCTACTTCGTCATGTTATGGTCAAATTGAAGTGAGGGTAATCGGCCACGAGACCGATCATCAGATTGGATTATGTTGGCACATGAGTTCTGGCAGTGAATCGTGGTGACGACTGTGTATAACCAATAATGGTAAGTGATTTTACCAGTGATTGTGATTTGAAATTCCAATGGGTTTGGCTGGAATTTCTTATATTTGATTTGCCAATTTAAATGGTTTGGCTTGAAATTGTGATTTTTGCCTAGCCATTGATGATTATGACTTGGTATTTTGGTATTTATTTAGCCGATGATCTTTACGGCTCGAACTTATGATATTTGTTTTGCCACGGATGAAAATGGCAATAATGGTAAGTGGTTTTACCAATAGTAGATGTGGCTTGAAATTCTGATATTAATTTGGCCAATGAGGGTTATGACTAGAATTTATGATATTTGTTTTGCCAAAGATGAATATGGCAAAATTTTTTGATGTTTGATATTGCTAGTGATTATGGCTAGAAATTTTGATGAAGAATCGTGATAATGGCTGCGTATAGCCAGTGATGGTAAGTAGTTTTACCAAAATGGTAGATGTGGCTTGATATTATGGTATTTATTTAGTCAATGAGAATTATGGCTTGATGTTTGATATTTATTTTGCCAATGTGTATTGCTAGAATTTCTGATATTTATTCTACCAATGAGGGTGGCAGAAAATCTGAGTATAGATGATTACTTCGTTGAATTATTTATTTCTGGGGCTTGAATAAAATCGTAGACTGAGGTTATGATTTTATTCACTATACATGGAATGGGGGAATTGGCGATAATTCCTTGTCCCTCTTTGAATAAACATAATTTGACGAGGACGTATTTTATCCTCATATATTTTGTCATGTTTCTTGACATATTTGGATAGATTTCGATCCTACGAGCGCGTAGGTGAAAACCGTTAGTGAAACGGAGTTATAACGAAGAAGTTATTAACGATCGAAGTCGAGGGCAAAATAGATATTTTCCCATTAATTTGGAAGGCTCTAGAAAATCTAGAGCAATGGGAGTGCCACGTGTGTGGCCGAGATGAAAAGGGAAGGAGAGAAAGAAGAGATAGGGGGAATAGGCTGCCTAATCAGAAGGAAGGAAAGGAGAGGAAATGAGAGAAAAAGAAAAGGGGGAAAACGGGTTGACCCGCATTCCCCATTGAACCTGCGTGATTTCTAACCATTTTTTGTCGGTTTCCCGACGACCCACACCTTGTCATCACCTGTAAACACCATCCCATTCCTTCTCCTTTATTGATTATCAAATATTTGACAGGATTAGGCCTGTTTTGGGGTATACGGTGGCGATGGCACCGTGAGGTGCTTGGTGAAAATCCACCAATTTTGAATGAAATTCTGATGATCTCCACCACCATTAGACTTTCTTTGAGCTCAGGAACAAAGCCCAAACAACCTTAGAGGCGGTGGAGCACTGGATAAGCCAAATCGAAGTCACCCAATTTCTAGGGTTCCAGTGGGTTTGGATGAAATTGGGGCTTTTCCTAACCAAATTAGACTTAGCCACATGTATAAAGTTTGTTCTACTATTTGAGATCTTCATTTGAGAATTTTTTGAAATAGTTAAATTTTCCGGCGAGCCGGGATGACCTACCGCCACCCACGGAGAGGGGGTGATGTGCCTTATATGTACATGCCCACCTCCATATAGCACGAGGCCTTTTGGGAACTCATTGGCTTCGGATTCCATCGGAACTCCGAAGTTAAGCGAGTTCGGGCGAGAGCATTCCCAGGATGGATGACCCACTTGGAAGTTCTCGTTTGAGCTCCCAGAAACAAAACCATGAAGGCGTGGCTGGAGCCTAAAGTCTACAATATTGTGTTACGGCAGAGTCGAGACTGAGATGTGTCAGAATGGTATTAGAGCCACTCTACCGTGTGGTGCAAGTGTGCCAACGAGGACGTCGAGCCCCTAAGGGGGGTGGATAACATCCCATATTGACCAATAGAGAGGGGGTGATGTGCCTTATATGTACATGCCCACCTCTATATAGCATGAGGCCTTTTGGGAACTCACGAAACTTTGAAGTTAAGCGAGTTCGGACGAGAGCAATTCTAGGATGGGTGACCCATTGGGAAGTTCTCGTCTAAGTTCCTAGAAACAAATCCATGAGAGAATGGTATGCCTAGAGCGGATAATATTGTGCTACGGCGGAGTCGAGCATGAGATATGACAATAGCTTCAAGCAAAGCAGTTTAATTACTTGTAAATACATTAAGCGTGTTTACGCACTTGCAATCAGAATGAAAATAAGGAGTCAGATTGTGATTACGAATCATTATTGTGTTTACTAAGATATGGAGGAATCATGACAATATGGGGCCCACATGAAAAATAGAAGGGAAACTTTAAAAAATGACCAATTTTCTTAATCATTGGACTAAAATAGGACAAACCGGCCATTGACAAGCCATGCATACCATGCACAAAACTGAAATGACAGAAATACCCACATATAAATTGTAAAAACTCACATGTGATGACGTTATTTTCCTGATTTCGAAGAAAGAGGTATGAGCTTTGAGTTTTTGGGTTGAGTTTAGATATGTGAGAATGCATGTGCATGTCGTAATATACAGTGAGCATATCCTGAAAATTTATCAAACAAAACACCAATTTTGTAAACGCAATAGTATTAAGTTGTATACAACAAGCATAAGCTCACATCTCACTATATACTTACTATTTCTCTCCATAACTGACATATGAAAGACAGTGGTTTGACACCAATCTATTCTTAAGCAAGAGATAGAAAGCTGACTAAGGGAGTGTATACAAGTAGTTGCAAGCAATTTATTTCCCTTGGCATTACCAATCTCTTTCATTCTTGTATTGTGTATTTGTAATTCATTCATATATGTTTTATTTCCATACTAAAACATCTGCATTCTACAGTATACACTACCAGTAATGCAAACAGAAGAACTGTGGCTCTTTAAAATTGTTGGATGGCTCCATTGTGAAATGACAAAAAGCAGTGGAAATATAGAGATTACCATTTATAAGCAGCCTGGGGAAGACCTAGTTAGGGCTTGTGTAGTACATATCAGTTGAAAGCTTAGCAGTAATTTGATTGGGAAAAAAAGGACTTTTGGAAGTCTCTTTGTTTTGTTTGTTTGCCTAGTTATTAAAAAACAAAAGACTGCTTCACAAAAAAAAAAAAAAAAACAAAAAAAAACAAAAGACTTGTGGAAGCAAAGCAAGCAATTAAACCCGTAGCTTACACGTTTTTGGTTTACACGTGGATGCAATTCATTGGTTTAAATAACAAAGAAAATGGAAAAACCTCCCCCGCAGGGAAGCTCAGGATAGGGATCCTCCTGATTAGCCCATCTGGATCGTTCAAATTTAATCCAACGATTACAAACAAGAAGATATTCTAAAAATTATAATAATTACAACCGTTAGATTACATTTGAATGGTATAGATAAGCTGATCAGGAGGATCCTCATCCTAAGCTCAGGAGAGGATCCTCTTCCCACAAACAGCACATATTGGGTAAGAACAGTCTGAAAACATGATAATGCTTAGCTGGCAATCAAATAAATCAACGGTCAGAATTCCCTGACAGCAAATGCTGTTGTTGAGGTCGAATATACTTGTAGGAGTAGTCCAGCACCTTAAGCCACCTTAAGCCTTCAATCATTGTGTCTTCTCTCTCTCTCTCTCTCTCTCTAGAACGTGTGTTGTGTTTTCCTCTCTGTATCTCTACTTCTCTACTATTCATATATTGTTGAGTTGAAGATTTTTTGGAGGAGAAACAAAAAGCAATCTCTTATTGTTTGCTCGTAATATTAAGAGTTGGTTCTTTCCAAAAACAGAGAAAGGAGATCAGAGAGAGAGAAAAAAAAAAAGAGACCAAAGTTTGAGTCTAGCATCAGGAAGAGGAAGAGAATTCAGCTAGCAAAGTTTGTGAAAGCTGAAAATTAAGGCTCTGCTTGGATAAAAAGCGTTTTGAGGTTTGAATATTTTTTTCTTTTGGAAATGGCTGCGGAAGAGAAGGTTGAAGAAGGAGATTGGGAGAAAGAGCGATAGAGGATACGCACAACAAAAAAAAAAACCCAAATTAGAAGAAATTCAGAAGAAGAAAATAACCAAAAAGGAAATCTTGGGTTTAGTTTTTGATCTGCTTCTGCAGTTTCTGCGGGTAATTCTTCACGTCTTTTTAACTTGAACTTGTTTCATTTGAATTGCAACTAGATATTTCTCTGTTTTCACTTTTCAATGAGAAGCTCATTTTCAAAAACATGTTTTTCATTTTTGTTTTGATACAAGCGATATTGGATGGGGAACTGAACTCGTGATACGTTGAGTTCAAAGGAAAACGTTTTTAACCAATTTACATGTCACTGCAAGTATGTTTTTTATTTTATTTTTAGAAGTAAAAATGGTGCAAGATTTCTTCTTTTCTTTTGATTCATGTAGGATTGGAATTAATCTGCAAAACCCATGATTTTATTTTTCTATCTTTTGAGGAAGAAGGAAACTAACAAAGCTATTTCAAGAACATAGTTGGGATTTCCAGTTCAAACCTTGTTTATTTTTTGCTAAGAAGCTCAACGTTTTTTGTTATCCAAAGAAGAATTCTGTTTTTCTTATAAAAAAAAACACACACATAACTTCCCATGATTCCCATCAGATGTTACACATTGCTCATGATTCTAGGAATCATATTTGCATTGCTCGCATTGTTTGCAGGTTTAACAATAATGGCAATGTCCGCAACTATCGTCAGCACCGACACGATTGTTCTACCGGCCGCGGCCGCGGAAACTCAGCCACAACAAACCACAACAAAACTCGTTTCCCCCATCGAAATCGAGTTCGTACAATGCGACTGCTGTGGATTAACAGAAGAGTGCACACCTGCGTACATTGAGCACGTGAGGGAGAGATATCAGGGCCATTGGATTTGTGGGTTGTGTGCAGAAGCTATAAAAGATGAGATTGTTAGGTCGCAGAAGAGGCTGATCAGCACGGAAGAAGCCATGGCCACACACATGAACTTCTGCAAAAAGTTTAAGGACTCAGGGCCTCCTCCAAACCCTACCATTCACTTGATATCCGCCATGAGACAGATTCTCCGGCGCAGTTTGGATTCTCCGAGGGGGGGTTTGAGATCAACTCCAAGTAGTCCTACAAAGATAAATGCAGGCAAAGGGCTCACAAGGTCTGAGAGTTGCTTCCCGACTCTGACTGGTTGAGGATATTTGATTACTGGAGAATATATTGGGAATAAGGATCAAAAGTTGGGAAAAAGTTTGGCGAATTTGCAATTTTATTTGCTGAAAATAAAAACCCAGAAAGGAAAAGCAAGGAATTTAAATGTTAAGGGTAGATGTTTAATTTTAGTCGTAATTTAATTAATTAGTATTGAAATACAGAACCTTTTTTTCCTTTAATTTTCTTTTGGTTATGTTGCTAGAATTTTGATATTTATGAAACTTGAAGGTGAACTTGTCTACATGATATATATATATATATATATATAAGTTTATGATAATGGAAGGATTATTCTGCAATGGAATCAAGAGAAATGTGGAAACCTACACATGGCCTGCATGCAACATGGAAAATACCCACCCCTCTACAACTTTTTCCTACTGTTAAATGCTACGAGCATTAGATAACATACATTGATTTAGATTACTATGTTTATTGTGAACCCGTGAATTTAGACCATCTAATGCCGGTTACATTTAATGTTAAGAAAGATGGAAGTGAAACAATAAGAGGTCTATCAATTCAACCTAAATTAGAAAGAATTGAAACCAAAGATGACTATGAAAGGTAAACAAAGAGGTTTTATAAGGATGGAGATTCCCTCCCCTCCTTTTTTTACCTCCCCTCTAGAGATGTCAATTCTAACCGTTAAACTCAATAACCGCAGATAACAGTCCGAATGGATTGGATTTGGATATGAAAATTCGGGTATGGTATGGATATGGGGAAAAACCGTGAACTTTATTTGGTTATAGCTTTGGATATGGTTATAGGGGTCCCCAATCCATATCCGTCCCTGAATCCAATCCGAATATATTGTGTTTGTGTATATATATATTTGATATATAATATAATTTTATTCAATTAGCGAACCCTCCATATACTAATTCATTATGCATGCATCAAACCCTATACTATCTTTATTATGCACCAAACATCATGGATGGGGCATACCAACAACCTCATCAATTCAATACTCTTATTGTTATACTCAACCAAATTAATTCATTGAATCATTTTATATATCAATTATCAAATGTTCCAAGTTTATCAGATTCATCTCTCTTCAAGAGTCTGACTGTCAAGAAATTAATTCATTGAATCAATTTGTTTTGTCTTCCTTTCGGATTTGCTTTTGTCCTTTTTTTTTATTGGACCAATTTATCATATTGGCTTATCATAAATAGCTTCAAATATATTGTTATGTTTTTTGTAATTGGATGTTGCTATTTAATGATAGAATTAGTATCTACTAAAATTTATAGTGCATCAATTGGATGAATATAATTTTTTTTTAATTTTTTGACGAAGATGGACATAACCGATAACCAATTGAAAATCCGTTACCTGGTGGATATGGTTATGGATAATCCCCGATGGTTAATTTGCGGTTATGGATATGGTTAATTTTTATGGTTATGGGGATGAATATAGCATTTCCGTCCTTAAACCGAACCGTTGCCATCCCTACTCCCCTCCCTCTCCTCCTCTAACATTTTTTTTTTCTTCTTTCTCTCCCTACAAAGATGAAATCTTGAGCTTTCAAACAGAAAATGAAAGAAATAAAAAAAGAGGAGAGAAAATCCTTATCCGTTTTATAAATCATAGTGGCTGGCACAACACAAACACAACACAGAAATGCAGTGACAACTAAGAAAATAACACCAGTATCAGAGCCACAGAGGCACTATTTCCGTGACTGCTGGACGGTGGATAGAACAAGGGAAGGATATGGGAATCGGATCTGATGCACTGCATGAATGGCCACAATACAATTATACTAGTTTTATCAGATTTGGACCCACACCAAGTTTTATGTCCGTTAGATATATTCTTCAGTATCTGTAACTCAATCATTGATTACCAGTAGATCTTTACTTATCTAGTGCTTGAGCTTCAAGCCTTCAAACGTGTAACGCAACATGGCAACTTGGTATGAAGAATATTTGTTTCCTAGGCTTTAGCCATTCCAAAATTTATTGGTTTTGTTAGGGAGGGTCACTCACCTGCATAATTGAATGTCAATTGTTGATTGAAATAGATCTTACATTTATCAAAGATTGACAATCATTCACATTGATTTCTTTGGTCTTAAGTATTTTCATGGAAAATATGCCGTTTTGAAATAAAATTTGTAGTGCCCCTTTTTGCTAGAAACTTGAAAGGAAATAAATTTGAAATTTCAAAGAAATAAATTATCAATCTTGATACACGATGACTTTTATTGTAATCTCCCATGATACATTTAAAGATTTTTAGTATGATTTAGATTGATCATACCAAAAGTCAAGTAATACCAACACAATAACATCAACAATCATCTCGTATCTTCGTATATCTCATTAAGCATATCCAAATTACTCATTAACTTTGAATTCAGCGGGTCAAAATTAGATAAACTTGCCAACTAGACTGACAGAAAATATAATATGAAGAAATTAAGTGTCTTTTTTCCTATGAAATGGTGGCTAACTTCTGAGAAAATACAGATTCCTCAATTATTTAATATCTCATTTACCTAATCCAATAATAAGATAATACATTTCACTCAATCATCATCTCTTATTTTATATGGTATTATAATTAATGGTCACATGATTCATTCTTTCTTGTCTTTGTATCAATAGGGATTAATTAGTTTTCTGGCGAAACATATGGTCGCTTGTTTAGAAGTGTTTTTAAAATTACTGAAAACAGTTTTAATGAAAAAGTTTTAAAATCAATCCTTAGTAAAAGCACATATGAATTCTGAAAATGCGCTTAAAGTGCTTTTGGAACAAAAAAAAATATTTTTCCCAAAAACTCTTTTAGTCATTTATAAAAAAACTTCCAAACGAACTATATGTCATTGCTCCGACATTAATGTGATGAGCAGAAAATGAAAGAATGTTTTGGTCCGCAAGCATTGCAAGACTAATGCGCTGAGCCTTAAAAACATTTACTTGTTTTTCGGATGGGACATGATTGATTGGCATCGGAGTGGTGTGGATGCAGTTGAGCATGACATGGGGTGCCTACGATGCCCACTTCGGCCGAGATAAATCGACAACAACGAATGGCCACTAGTTTCGGAGGTTGTTGGATCTCAAATTTGAGACCGTCGACCTGACCAGCATGTGTCTTGTTAGCGCAAGTTGGAGGTAAGAAGTCACTGAATTTCCAAAGGAGTTGCCGCTAGGGAGCGGAGGGATGCAATGGTGTGGAAATTGGTTTTGGGCCTGGGCCTTGACTTTTGTTGTTTTGGATTAGTTTTGAGCAGTTTCAAATAAGGTTTTGGATTTAAAAATTTTAAATCGAAACATGTGTTTTAGAAAGAAAAAAAATCAAAAATTTGAGTCCTCTTCTTACCAAACGGACCGTAAAAATTATCGGTTGATATGAAATAATAAAAAAGAAAACTAATGAAAAGGGCTTGAAAACTTTGAGTTTTAATGATAAGGACAAAATCAAGGGTAAAATGAATAGTACCAGGATTGACTTTTTAATGTAAAAATGTGGTTTTTCGTTAAAGTGAACAGTACGGGTACTTTTCATTAAAGTTCCCATGATAAAATGAATGAAGGGTAAAATTGTAAACCTAACATAAAAAGCCAAACCCTAGTTGATACAAAAAGCTATTTCCTCTCCTTTCTCCTAATTTGCACTGCGTCGTTCACTCGTCTTGCGATTCAGCCTCCCCTTCCGCGCCGCCACTTTCCCGTCTTCTCCGACCTCGATTGCTCTCATCTGGACATCCAGCCTCCAGGTTAGGTTTTTCGCATAATGTAAATCGTATGTTAATTTATTAATATCGTAAAATGTGAGGAGCTGTTGAATAATGATTAAATTTTCTGTAATCTCATTTTCTAGGGTTTATATGACTGTATATTCTGTTTCAAAGGAAATTTAATCTTCAAGAAGTTGCTTTGAAGCTTGGTGCTCACTTCTTAGTGGCAGCTATTACCAAATACCATGAGATTTTGAAGCCCTATTGAGTTTTTTGCTCTGTTTCGTCGTGGTTCTTGAATTTTAACTTGTGTTTTACTTATTTCGTAAATTCGTTATGCTTTGGATACCGTTGTATCCTCCCTGAGTACGGCGGGATTTCGCTAACTCTGATGTACTAGATTGTAGGGTTTGAAACTAAATCAAATATTTGTGTATTCTAAATTTTTCTTTCTTATTTTGTTTTCCGCGAAGAATGGAATCCACGATTAAGCATGCTGTTGTGATCAAGGTTATGGGACGGACTGGATCTCGTGGGCAGGTGACTCAGGTGAGAGTCAAGTTTCTGGATGACCAGAACCGTTTTATCATGAGGAATGTCAAGGGACCAGTGAGGGAGGGGGATATCCTTACCTTGCTTGAGTCCGAGAGGGAGGCAAGAAGGTTGCGGTGATCAATCAGAGATTGTCTTGTTTATCGAAGCTCCTATGTCTCTGTTTGTTGGGGAATGACTGTTGTTTTGCCAATTCTGGGTATTTCTAGCATCATAGACCTAATTTTTGTCATTGAGATTTTGTTACGGAATCGTTCTAAACTAAATTGTCTGAGAATGTTTTTTGTTTGTTTGAACAAGTAACAATGTTCCTGCATGCTGTGTTGAATTTTTGCTTTCCTTCTTCCCTGACCTCATCTTATTGTTATTGAGCAACAATTCTGGTTCTTAAAAGTTACCATGTTTTGTTGCTTCGTCGGAGTTGAAATTTGGTATGTAATTTATCTTGTTCTTTGTTTAGAAGGGTGAAAGGGAATAGCTTCTTTGTAAGAGAAAATACATCATATGGTTCTGGTTCTAACACTCGTCGAGGGCAACTATCTGGTAAGAAACAATTCAACCGATGTAGAAGAGCTGTCGAGTCTTGTAGCGTCGGCTGCAACTAAGCATGGTGTTAAGGTTACTGGTTGTGTGATGAATCCCAAGTCGAGTGGGCAAAGGTGTTCTCGTCTCTGCACCACTGTTGGGTAGCTTTGATGTGTTGTGTTATGTTGTGAGGTCATCAAGCAACTAAGAAGAAACTAGAACAGCCTTTGCCCACTCGACTATGGTGGGAAGAGAATCAGCAACCAAGAAGAGACCGAATTTTGATAAAACTCAGTGTCATCTAATTCTTACGAGTATTGTTAATATCATATATGTTCCCTAAATTTTTGGTGTTCTTACCTTTTGGTCCTGGGAATTTTTTTTTCCTTTTCTGATTTCGAGTTTGTCTCTGACCTTGCGAAAGCTTGTTTAAGGTCGTTTTTGTTACAATCTTACAATATAAACGGGACGTTTGCACCATAGGCGCATTCTTGTTATTTTGCACAAGCAATCAGAGAAGAGAAAAAAATCAGTAGTCCAGTGCAGTGGCACTAGATACACACCCTCAGGGTCAGCCGTGTGCTCAAGTTACAAATAACTTTTTTCAAGCTCGAAGCTCTTTGTAAACACAAATGCAAACTCGAGCTTGTAGTTTGCTTGACTCAATCATTTTTTAAACAAACTTGAATGATATGAATTTTTGGACTATGTTGCAAGGAGAAAGATTGTTGGTTTAGTAATAACGTAAAGAGAGATTATATTCACATACCCCAAATTACTTCTTCTACATTTTTTTAATTTTTTTAATATTTTCTACACATAACTAATACTTGATAGAAAAATATTAAAAAATTATAAAAGAAGTAATTTAAAAGTGTAAATATAATCTCCCTAACGTAAAACATTTATCAGCCAAACTTTACAACAAACCTAGGCAAACTAAAATTGTTCCAGTCGATTTACAGCCCCCCTAACTCCATTTTATTCCCCCATTCGACGTCGTTTTACTGCCGGTCCCACCCTTTGTACTGTGGCAGGCCAATCATCGCGACAACATTATTCGTTCGCATCCTCCAAAATTCGGAATCCAAAATCCAACCGATAGATGATCACCTACGGCAATCGGATGAACCTGCCCAAATTCGGAACAAAAACTATGGAGCCACGTGGTAATTAGAAAGCCCCACACCCAGTTTCGCAGTTCTGCAGACAAACCCATTTGTTGATTTTCCTCCACTTTCTCGGGAACCAAACACTCGGTAGCAATGGCCGGTTCCAACCTCCTTCCCTTCCTTTTCCTCCTCTGTTTTCTTGTTCCTGCTGCGCTCTCGATCCCGCCTGACCTATCCGACCGTCCAAAAACCTTCATCGTCCACGTGTCCAAATCAGACAAGCCCGCCCTCTTCTCCTCTCACCGGAGCTGGTACACCTCCATCATCCAATCCCTCCCGTCCCCCCACCCCACCAAACTCCTCTACACATACGACCGCGCCGTCCACGGCTTCTCCGCCGCCCTCACATCCTCTCAGGCCACCCAGCTCCTCTCCCACCCCGCCGTCCTCTCCGTCACGCCCGACCAGCCACGTCAGCTCCACACCACTCACACCCCCAGCTTCCTCGGCCTCGCTGAATCCTTCGGCTTATGGCCCAACTCCGACTACGCCGACGACGTCATAGTCGGCGTCCTCGACACCGGGATCTGGCCGGAGCGCCCGAGCTTCTCGGACTCCGGTCTCGGCCCGGTTCCGTCCCGATGGAAGGGCACCTGCGTCAGTGCCCCGGACTTCCCGTCCTCCTCCTGCAACCGCAAGATCATCGGCGCCAGAGCCTACTTCGACGGCTACGAAGCCTACATCGGACGATTAATGGACGAATCGAATGAGTCGAAATCGCCCAGAGACACCGAAGGCCATGGGACACACACGGCCTCCACCGCCGCCGGCTCCCCGGTCGCTAACGCCAGCTTGTTCTCGTACGCTCGCGGCGAAGCCAGAGGCATGGCCACCAAGGCGAGAATCGCCGTCTATAAAATCTGCTGGTCATTTGGGTGTTTTGATTCCGACATTTTGGCCGCTATGGATCAAGCAATTGCCGACGGCGTTGACATAATTTCGCTCTCCGTCGGAGCCAGCGGTCGTTCTCCAGCGTACGATCGAGACTCCATAGCCATCGGATCCTTCGGGGCTGCCCAGCATGGTGTTCTCGTCTCCGCCTCCGCCGGTAATTCTGGGCCCAACCCATTTACGGCCACCAACATAGCTCCATGGATTCTCACAGTCGGCGCTTCCACCGTTGACAGAGAGTTCCCAGCCGATGTTATCCTCGGCGATAACCGGGTTTTCGGAGGTGTTTCATTGTACTCCGGTGAGCCTCTAGTCGATCACCAGCTTCCATTAATATACGGCGGAGACGCCGGAAGCAGGTACTGTTACGCAGGGGCTCTCAAGCCATCGAAAGTCCAGGGAAAAATTGTCGTCTGTGATCGCGGCGGCAATGCGAGAGTCGGAAAGGGAAGCGCGGTGAAGCTAGCCGGCGGGCTCGGGTTTATCTTGGCCAACACAGCCGACAGCGGAGAAGAGCTTCTCGCTGATGCACACCTTATCCCAGCAACAGAGGTGGGTGAAATCGCCGCCGATCAGATAAGGGAATACATCAGATTGAGCCAATACCCGACGGCCACAATTGTTTTCCGAGGAACTGTAGTTGGGACTTCGCCGGCGGCCCCAAAGGTCGCAGCTTTTTCGAGCAGAGGACCGAATTCTCTAACACCAGAGATTCTCAAGCCCGATGTGATTGCTCCTGGAGTGAACATTTTGGCGGGTTGGACTGGGGCGTCTGCCCCCACAGATTTGGACATTGATCCTAGAAGAACCGAGTTCAATATAATTTCGGGGACATCTATGTCGTGCCCGCATGTGAGCGGCATTGCTGCATTGCTTCGAAAGGCCTATCCGAATTGGTCGATTGCTGCTATAAAATCTGCTTTGATCACAACAGCTTACACTTTAGACGATTCAGGTAAGAAAATCAGGGATCTTGCAACAGGGAAAGAGTCGACTCCTTTTGTTCATGGAGCAGGACATGTTGATCCCAACAGAGCTCTCAATCCCGGGTTGATTTACGATCTCAATGTGAATGACTATGTTGCATTTTTGTGCTCAATCGGGTACAGTCCAAGGCAAATCGCTGTTTTCTTAGGAAAGCCTACTGGTTCTGATATATGCACAAAGAACAGTTTGGCTAGTCCTGGTGATCTGAATTACCCTTCACTTTCCGTCATCTTGAGCTCGGATCAAAGCCTGGTTAAGTACAAGAGAGTCGCTACGAATGTGGGGGGCAATGTGGATGCGGTTTATAAGGTGAATGTTACTGCTCCGGCTGGTGTTGAGATCAGCGTTTCCCCGAGCAAGCTGGAGTTCAGTGAAGAAAACCAGAGTCTGAGCTATGAGGTTACATTCAGGAGAGGAGTTGGGTATGATGGCGGAGAGCGATACGGGTCTATTGAGTGGACAGACGGTAGCCATCTGGTGAGGAGTCCGGTTGCTGTGAGGTGGAGCAGCACTCGGTATACAGCTTCCATGTGAGATTTAGCATTAAGGTTGTTAGGCTAGCGTTTGGGTGATCACTTTGCTTTGTTTTGTGCAATTTGTAAGTTATCGGTTAGCCCACTTGTATGCATACATGAAGGGCTGGGGATGTGTGTATGGCGTTGTATGCCTTGGCTGGAGGGCCTTCTCGAATCCTACGTTGATGTAAATTTTGCTTAATCAATAAAGCTCATGAGCGGTAGGTCTCGGGTTCGAGACTTGGGAGCAGCCTCTCCATAAATGGGGGTAAGGCTAGCCGACATTCACCTCTCCCTGACCCTGCGTAAAGCGGGAGCCTTGTGCACTGGGTACGACCTTTAATAAAGCTCATGCATTGGCAACCAAAATAAAGTTTTCTTAGGGGAAGTAATTCGAAATGTCTCAATAGGCCTATACTAGAAATTATTGCCCGTACGCTGTTGCGGGATTAAAAATTGTAAAAAGCATTATGTTCGAAAGATATAAAAGATTGTATTATAAAAGATTAATACAATTCATTGCTATATTTAATTGATACTCCACGTAAAAATCGTAAAAGTTTTGGCCATCTATGCACTTAAAATATTAGATCAACACATTCCACTTAGGTAGTTTTTGTGATCTCCGATCGTCACTTGAGAACTACTTTCATTTTTCATGATATACATGCTTCTCGGTTACAATGTGAAAAAATAAAAGCTACTAATGTACATTGTTAAAATAATTAAGCAATATCGCAGCTCCTCAAATCCATTTAATAGGATACATTAAGAAAAATTTGCAAGCTACCTATTATCGTTGATCAACAACTTTTTACATACATTATGTTGGTGGCAGCAAAGGTCGATCAGCAACCTTGTACAAACTTTATTCCTTGCATAACATTCACAACAGTAATATCACATGACAGTTTTATGATCACAAAAATTTCAGCTAGGCCAGCACGAACTGTCACAACCTTTCATCTAGATCCCGAGCACATGCCAAAGCTCTCAGTCACAAAGCTGAAGGCACACCACTGATTGACTCGAGACCCATAAACACCTCGGGTAACATTTTTGACCACTGAGAATGTTGATTTCTCTGATCTGCCTTTAGATGAGAAAGGAAGATTTCGGGGGATGAGCATATCAAGAATGTAAGAGACTGGATAAAGGGGTTTGATTTCACTTTTGCAGAAACTATACATAAACTTTCTCAAAGATACAATGTCCGGCTTCAATACTACTCAGAAGACATAATTCATTGAAAAAATTTCTGGATGGGAGCAAAATTTACCTTAACACCGCCATAAGCAAATCAGCAGCATTGTGGAGAATTTTTGTTCAGAAACTGAATGGAAAATCAAGAGTTTCAAATTCAATCAGGAGCATTGTAAAATTATTAAAATGCGTAAAAAATGTTGATATATAAATATTATACATAAATGCATATTTGTCATGGATATATAAACTATTACCTGTGAAAAATGCGAAAGAACAATTGGAATAATCGAGAAATATCACTGAATGTGTGCATGAAAATCTGACAACTCCCTGAAAATTGTTCCCCTATTGAAGAAAAAATGTGTGGCAATCCATCTCTCAAGCTTCTGTTTTTCAGTTTAGAAATCGATGCGACGAAAAGAATAGCAAAACAACGTGAGCAATTGATGCGTATGAAAAGTTATTAATACCCTTGGTTAAAGAGAGGAGAAACCATTTCGGATTAAACATGTTGTTCAAATATTAGAAGACATTTATATTTTATATAGGGCAAATCTGGCATTTCATTTATCAGGATTTTTTTAAAAATATATATGAAAAAAGATATATAAAATTGGTAACTGCAATTATATATTATTCATATTGATCAACTTTTGTCAATTTTTTTCTTAAAATGAAAATGTAAACAAATAAACATTAATGTTAAACCTAATATATATACATTCTATTTTTAATGAAAATAGCATAAGAAAGTAATTTGGTTACCTTTGCATCAACCAATATGATGTTCAAGTCAGAGAAATGGTCGCCACAATTTTTGAGTTTCCAAATTTTGCGTAGCAAACATTGAAGTAACATGGCTTCATAACGTTAAAGTGTAACAGGAAAAACAGCAACATGGGCGGGCATGCTGGTATATAGGTTCTAGGGAAGCTTGGTAATTTTGGTTTCTTGGACTTATTAAGTAGATTCGTCAAGGTGGGCCATGACTATGTCATATGCTGGTTCATCTTTCGGTTTAGGCAGACAGTAGGCTAGCTTCAGGCTTCATAGAACTGAGCTGTTTGGATGGCATGGGAAAGGCAAATAAGGGAAAACACGAGCATCAGAAGTTTATATACAGGGAGATTGGATAGGTTATGATTATCAAATGATTGGCCAAGGGGTAATGCCAGTTATAACAACGGAGAAAGGAGGTGGATTGTCTGCCCTCCCATTTCCATACTCTTCTCATCCCCTCCTGTTTTGTGTGGTCACGGTTAAACAACATTTTATATTCCTTTTACTTTTTGTTTTATTATTTTTATAAAAAAAATCAATATAAAATGTTGACATGGTTTAACCGTAACCACACAAACAGGAGGAATGAGAAGATTATGGAAATGGAGGGCAGACAATCCACCTCCTATAACAACAAACATGAAAATCTCAAAAGACAACCATAGTCTACCTGTTGGTACCATCATTAAACATAGTTTCTCCTCCAAGAAACCCTTACTTGGATCAAGTAAATTATATAACAAAAGAGGCGTTGGCTTTTGAATAATAAGTTTAATTTTCCCTTTATGACAACAAAGTGTAAAAAGAGGCTCATTATTTGTAGATTTTCTTGTAATAGATTTTTGAAACCAAAATAATGCACCACAGTAAATACATTTATAATTTTTATCTCCCAAATCCATATACTCTTCGAAAATTCCTATGAGAAGGAAAAAAAATACATAATGAGAATAAAAGGGACTCAAGTAGGTAGTGTTAATACAATTTATTAAAATTTTGAATAAGTACTTCGTCTCTTCCTTTGATAAAACGCTTGACCCCTAGTAATTTCATGAGAAGTAGTATCATCTCTGGTTATATCAGCCATGCTTTCTTCCTGCAAAGGTTTATTTTTAATTGTTTTCTATCGTTTATTTAGACTCTAACAATTTTCTTCATCATCGCGGCTTAATTTTTTTCTATTGGTTGGTGTAGTCTTTTTAGGAAACAAATTAGAGTCACAATGTTCATGTTCATTGTTTGCGCGACAATATTTTTTGTTAGACATTTTTATTTCGCTTGCATCAAAGGAACTGGAGCTTCCTTGTATAGTCAAGCTTCTCCTGATGTTCCTAGTTGTTTTCTGCATTGTACTTGCAAATTAATAACCCCAAGCAACGAATTAGTAGTTGAGGAGAAACAAAAATATATGTACAACTATATTTATAATCCAACCAAGTAAAATAAATGCAAACGAAGAATACATGAATTAGGATTTCCAAAACACGCTATTACAAAAAATCAATCACATAAAAATTCTTTTAAACGATCTTTAAAAGCCAAAAATGAAAACTGACCTCTTATGAAGAGCCAATGAGAAGGAATGAAGCAACAGAACACCTGTTCAAAAATCCATAAAAGAAATATAGTTCATAGTTCAAAATTGCATGCCTCTACAACACCAATATCATTATCAAGTGTAGGTAAAGATATTTGCAAGATTTAGATACATATTAAGATGCAATAGGGATTAACTTTTGATAAATAAAATAAATCAATGTCTTTTTTCGTTTCAGGGATAAAAATAAAGGTTGAGACTCAAGAAATGAAATTAATTACAAACCTGATATCTCGGGTTTTCATTTTTTTTTTCACACAAGCTAACGTAAAATGGGGGTAAAGCTAGCCGACGTTCACCTCTCTCAGACCCTGCGTAAAGCGGGAGCCTTGAGCACTGGGTACGATCTACAACACAAGCTAACGTAAATCCAACAGAAGAGAGAGAGAGAGAGAGAGAGAGAGAGAGAGAAATAGAAAGACTTACTGATGAGTCAATTGTCAATTTTCTAAAGAAATCGTATCCTTTCTATGAGTGCATCACAACCTTCAAAAAATACGTGGATATCAGTACAATTGTAAGAAAAAAGAATGAGAGAATCCACACTAAATAAAAATATATATATAAAAAAAAGAGAGAACTTGCCCTCTTTCCCCTCAAGTATGGATTGTATAATGATTTCAAGTATCTAGGTTGCTTATATCCTTGGGTATGGTTTGTGACTTAGTGTTTGTGGTGAAAGTGACTTAATTTTTGGTTGTAGGAAGAGGAGGTGGGAGGATTACCGCCAACCACTAACTCCCCCTACACCAAAAATTTATGGTTTGTGACTTAGCGTTTGTGGTGAAAGTGACTTAATTTTTGGTTGTAGAAAGAGGCGGTGGGAGGATTACTGCCAACCACTAACTCCCCCTACACCAAAAATATTTATAAGTCTATTCCAGTTCCTCAAACTTTGATCCAGATTCGGAAAATGCATCCTTAAATTCCCAAAAATTGTCATCAAACCCAACATCTGGAGTACTGGATACTAACTTATTTTTAATTCAATGTCTTTCAGCGTTTTGCTGCTGTAATTATGAGAATAAGGGAGCCTAAACTACAGCTTTGATTTTTGCATCTGGGAAGATGGTGAGCCCTCCCAAAAACTTTTTAGGATTGTATTTGCTGACAACAATATGATTTCATTTCAGCTGTTCATATTGTTGTAATATCATTATTGGAAGCGATTTGCTTTTGAATCTTTTTACTCCTATTCAGTTCCTTCTTTTGTGGAAAGTGTCTTTCTCCTTTAATTCTATGCCTGTTAGTGAGATATGATAAAACAGTTTATCTTACTTGAATCATACCCCAACTGATTGCGCTATTATCTATTGATGTGTTGCATCAAATATAAAGATGATTATGTGTTTGTCAGAATGTGTTTGGAATTGTACATGATGAGTGTGTCAATTTTTGGGTGCAATCAAGTAATGATATTGCTTATTTCAGAAAATATCCTTAACAGGAGAGCATTTTTTGGTTGCTAATTTTGACTATTGCATCTAAATTAAGTGTGTGTTTGATTGGTTATGGTCCTTCTGGATTGCATGTCATGTAAAAAATGTACAGTATGTCGATGCTTAAATTCCTAAATTTTGACGCTTAAGATATATATTTGGTAATGGACTGATCTTTTTATGAGCATGTTTATTTAATATTTACTAAACTTCTATGGTAATAAATTTGGCTTTAAGTTACTCATGTCACAACCCTGGTAACTAGTGCATTATATTTTGTCGACCCTTTTCAACTTGATATACACCCTCTCTTTTCCCCACTCTCCCTTATTTATGATTTTAAATCTTGAGTTATGCACCCATCATACCTTGGATGCCTCTGGTTAAGATATTTAAATTTTAACCAGATTGGTATTAACATAGCAAAAGTGGCAGCGAGGAAGGTATCTGTTGAATGCTTACAGATTGGTATTAACATAGCAAAAAAGATAGTGATATATGTGAGTTTTCGTAACTTTTGACCCGATTTTAGGCATTTTAAGTTTGAAGCAGAGTGACAGTGGGTAAGAATCAACTAAAAAAATAAAGGAGAATCAGAAGTATTAAACAAAAAATATTACATGCCAATGAGAATATATAAATACACACAAAATATTACCTTCCAAAACATTCACCTCTCAGAAACACCTTGAAATCCCCCACAAAGTTTTCCAATTTCCACCAGAATTGAGCTTCTTCCAGTGTTGAGAAGCCATCCCAGAAAACGGAAAGTAGAAGAACAAACACTTGGTCTGCACAAACTATTCAGATTAACAAAACTCAAAATTAGATTCCTTCTGAGTAAACCACACAAACCAAAGAAACACCAATAAAATGAAGTAGCTTTTTTCAACAGAACAAAAAAACTCCAAAACCAAAAACTTGAAAATCTAATAAAAATGAAGAACAAAGATTACAAATTAGATAACCAAAATTACTAAAAATAAAAAAAAATCAACATGCATCAAACACAAAACTAATCTGTAAAAGCGAGGGAATCCATTTGTAATATGCTTTTTGGTTTTGAACCTGAAGAATTTGATATTCTGACCAGCACACCGAGGAAAGGAATTAAGCCTAACGAAATTGAACCCAAGCCTCAGAAAATTGACTTGAGGTGTTTTCTGCAGTTTGATCGGTTCACACACAACCGGAATCAGCGGTCCGGTGGAAACTGAGACAGAGACAAAAATTGCGAGGATACAGTTGAAATAGGAACTGAAACACAAAGAGAACACGAAGCAGATTTTGACATATAATAGGTGTAGAAGGTACCTGTGGTGATGAGGAATAGATGATGATGATCTGGGTTTTTTCAGTTGGAAAGATCTGGAGCAAAGTTGCTGGTGAAGAAATCACGGAGGAAGCACGGAGGAAGAGATGACGAAGCAACGATTGAAGAGCGCGAAGTAGAGATCGAAGATAGTAGAGATGGAGAGAGATGGCGAAGCTGAGTGCGGGTTCCCGAAGAAATCGAGAGATTTCTATTGCACAGTAGGGGGAAAATGCCATTTTACCGTATAATGCATACAAAAAGCTAAATTTACAGAGCAACTCGAGGGCCAAAAAGGCATAACGCTGGCGAAGGAACAGTACCACGTTTTTCTCTTTCAGTATGTACTAGAAAATTTTACCCACGCGTTGCTGCGGGATTTGAAATTGGTATGAAAAATTATCTTTGAAATATAATAGATTGTGTGATTGAAGATTAATACTATTTACATTGAAAAAATTGGAAAAACTTTTACTTATAAAAGATTTTACGATACAATCCAGATACAAAATATGGTAAATTTTGTTCTATCTTCATGCATTATGTTATGGAATGATATATATAAAACTAGGTTCCAGAATACGTAAACTTCATAACTTGGAAATTTTTTGACAAATTAATCAGATTGAACTGTGGGATAGCAAGGTCGCCTATAAAGTTGTGAAGTCGTGGAAGCATAAATGACAAATAACAAATGAGTTTTGAGAAATTATTCCACAAATGTCATTTTGCAAAATGCATCAAAGACGATTGGTATAAGATTAGCAATCATGAGTACTGTAACAACATCAACAAAATAACTATAAACCATAGTTGAACTGAACATAATTCAAATTTCATTTGCAAAAACAAAAGAATAAAAAAAACAAACTTATAATAATTCAGCCTTCAATCCTGAAGCCCTACTCAAAGAGCCAAACTTGAATGCAAGCTTTCTGAAATTTTCCAAACAATATAGAAAAAAAGGTAGCACCCTAGTCAGAACTGAACCGAGGTGCGAGCTTTCTAAGAAACCCAGATGACAAAATCAACAAAATAGAATGGAAAAATGACTAACACTTTTAAGGCATGCTCGAATCTAGATCTTAAATTGGTGGTGGGTCGATTGTTGGTCACCAACTCTAAATGAAGAATTCATCAGAACCTAGAAATTTAAACAAAAAACTTTCCAAAATCAACATTTACTAAAAACCAATTACTTGGTTATCATGCATGATGGCTTGTCAAAGACTGAATTAAGGAATGCACAACTTTACTTTTATGATTATTTTCAATGATAGCTAAAAGGTCAGATCCAAATGAAAATAAAAGTTAGGACTTCACAAAACCAATTAAAAATCTAATTCCAAAGTTACAAACACCCACCAAATGATTCAAGATAAAGTTTTAAACTCAAGGTCAGACCCAAATGAAATCAAAAGTTAGGACTTCACAAAACCAATTAAAAATCTAATTCCAAAGTTACAAACACCCACCAAATGATTCAAGATAAAGTTTAAACTAAAAAACCCAACATAAACAAAAGCATTGGTGTGAATTAACTGTATCTAATTGAAGAAACTAAAACAAAAGTACAGTAAATTATAGACCTCAAAATGTCAAGCAACTAAGTTCTTCCTCCGACGACCCAAAACTCTGAAAATTCCACACACAAAGAAAGGTAAATCCATTAGCAATTCATAGCTTTCAAAATTAGCAAAAACTTGGGCAACAATAAAGATGCGTTGACACCATCACTCTTTCTCCTTATGTATTTGAAAAGATATTTTATAAGCAGTTCATGTAGTCATTCTGATCATGTTGCATATAAATTCCTTTTCTACAGAGTTAAATATATGACAGTTTATGGCATCTGTTGAATAACATGGTTGAAAGATTTTAAAATTGATACACTCAATTTTTATGTGTAAAACTATAAAATATAGCTAAAGCTATTGGGTCTATATATCCATATCAATCATGTCGTAATTGAATGTTTATTGATGTAAATAGATGATTTCAGTGATGTGATAACATGTTTCTTGATCGTATATGTTGAAGTTTGGTCTAAGTTGGATAAAAATCGACCAAAATCTTAATAAGAGACTCTTTTAACTTTTAACCAAAAAATGAGCACCACAATACTACACTTATAAGTATTATCATGCGCAAAGCACTGATTGCCACTTTTAGAGCAAGAACAATACTTTACCAAAAGAAAACAACAAAACACTCAAAACCCAAAAACAGAAACACAATTAGGACTCAAAACTCCTCAAAAACATGAGAGAGAGAGAGAGAGAGAGAGAGAGAGAGAGAGAGAGAGAGAGAGAGAGAGAGAGAGAGAGAGAGAGAGAGAGAGAGAGAGAGAGAGAGAGAGAGAGAGAGTGTGTGTGTGTGTGTGTGTGAGAGAGGAGAGAGAATAAAAAACAATATTATTTTTCACACAAACTCAAAATTGCTTATAAAATTACAAATCAAAACAAATGAAGGCAAATCCAAAATTTCCCTAAATTAAATCTAATTAGTTAAATGTTTGTTGCCCTATAAATGTCATTACACCTGACACAACTTGCTTTGAAGTTGATATTTTGGTCAATCTAGGGGAACATGAGAGACTGGTTTTGGAGCAGTTGTCATGGAGAATACCATCTCCCTGTTGAATGATCTAAAAAAGTTGTATAAAAAAAGAGAGGTTGGAGAAAAGCCGATTTGGGAGCCAAAGAAAGCGAGGTTGGAGACCGACAGAACACAATCCATTCAGTTGCATAAAAAAGTTGTAGATGCAAGATTAGAAGAACTCACCACAAAACTATCCACTTTGAGACCAACAGAGGCGAAAAGAAGGGAGAGCAGACGACTATGAAAGAAGATAACCAAAAGAAATGAGAAAAAAATCGACCAAAAGTAGTGAAAAGGAACTGAAACACAAAGAGAACACGGCGACAGACGCATGGACGCCAAGGGCATAACCTTCTTGTCACTGCAGAAAGCAGGAAAGAAAGCTATCTTTTTGGTATGCAGACGGGATGGGACGGGACGGGATGGAATGAGACGGGACGGAACAGAATGGAGAGGGAGCAAACCCTCGGATGGAAACAAGGAAGAAGAAGAAGGAAACGGAAAAGTTATAATTTTGTGTTCCACGTCGTTCCCAGGGTAAGGCGGAGCGAAAATTCACGCAAAATTCGTTCCGTGGAACAGCGCGTTCCACCCATTTTAGGTGCACCAAACGTGAGATGGAACGTCTCGTCCCACTTCGTTTCGTTCCGTCCCACATACCAAACGGTACCAAAAGCAACGGAAAAAGAATTTTGAAGGGCAATTTTGCCACTTTATTGTTAATGAATTGTAACATTGTGTTTAGGTTTTAATATATATAAATATAATATGCTCAGATTTGATACAAATTTGAACCCCATTATAGTCAACAACAACCATGTCTTATCTCATTAAGTTTTTTTAGTGGAAGTAAGGTCAACTGTATTATTCTATAACACTATTATGCATGGTTTTGCGCAAGGCTTCTACTAGCTCTAAGTACTCTATATCTTTTCTTATAATATATTTCAAAGTCTTTCTAAGTCTTCATCCACTTTTTTTTTTCCATGAGCTTTCGCCTCATAGTCATATCTTCTAACCGAATTATCAGTAGGTCTTCGGTTCACGTGTCCAAATCATCTTAGCTGATTTTCTTTCATCTTATCTTCAATTATGGCCACTCCCACTTTAATTCGGATATACTCGTTCTTAATCATATAATTTCTTGTGTGCCCACACATCCAATGAAGCATTCTCATATCCGCTACATTCATTTTTTGCATGTGTTGCTTTTTGAACGCCCAACATTTCGTGTCATGAACATCGATGGCTATATTGCCGTCCTATCATTCTTCTTGAGTTTTAGTGGCATACGATGATCACACATCATAACCAATGCACTCTTCCATTTTATTCATCCAGCTTGTATTCTATGGTTGAAATCTCTATCTAATCTCTGTTCCAAATCCATTATAATCGAAGTATCAAAATTGATCAGAATCTAATTGTCGAGCACATAATCTCAATTCATCTCCTACATCGAATTCAGATCAAAACCCAATCCATTTAATCATGTCAACTGTACTAAGTAATCTTTGAGAGAAGTTGAAGAAATCACAAAAGTCGAATAGAGAGAAGAAAATGAATAACCGTTTTTCATTTTCACTCAATTAATGGTGCTATAATTACAATTTACAACTGAGAGTATTTATAAATTGCAACAGTATACACTCATATAATTACATTAAGACACATCTAATTGGAGAAAATTGAGGTTCTAACATAAAAAAAAAAGGACAATATAGGGAGTAGCCCAACTATTTATAAGCACATGCAAGATTTCTCATTTCCCCGATATGGAATTCACTCTCAACACGCCCTTCACGTGTGACGAATTTTCAATCATAACTATGGACAACATAAATAGGGTGACTTGGAACACGGGTGGTCGTTGAGCTTCATACATGGAACACTTGCTTTAATACCATGAAGAAAGTTGAGGTTCCACAATAAAATCAATTGGCAATATGGGAGTAGCCCAACTATTTATAAGCACATGCAAGGTCCCTCGTTTCCTCGATATGGGACTCTCAATATGCCCCATCACATACAAGGAATTTTCAAGCATAACTATGCACAACACAAATAAGGTGACGTGAAACACGTGTGACCATTGGGCTTCATACATGGATAATATGCTTTGATACCATGAAGAAAGTTGAGGTTCCATCATAAAACCAATTGGCAATATGGAGAGTAGCCCAACTACATATAAGCACATACAAGGTCCCTCATTTCCCCAATATGAGATTCACTCTCAACATCAATAACACAATAACACATATCATAATCCTGAGTACACACCCTATCAAATTAAAGGTCTTAACCGTCAAAGCATAGTCAAGCTTTGCAGCTGAAAGGTGCCTTCCAACAGTACAAATGGTCTTGGATTCCTAGATCCGCTAATTTGGTGGCTGACAGACTTATATCTGTAAGGATTTCGAAGATGAGCAACTATACTTGGGTCGACAGACCCCCCCCCCCAATCTTTGATTGTATATATTCTGAACAAGGATGGTCTACCTTGCCCACATTAAGTCGAGTCTGGATGGAGGGAGTTAGGGTGACATAATGTTGTTACTTGTGTCGTTCCCTGGCTTTGTTCCTCTTTTCTTTTTTGGTTAGTTTTTTGTTAGTCCTTGATGTGGGCTTTCCTTTTGTTCTTGGCTTTGCCCTAGTGTAGTTCCAGTTTACCAAAAAAAAAAAAAAACAGTATGTCCATTTGCAAACCCCCACT